GTATATACTTTAAATTTTTACCAGTTATTAAGATTGGCATTTTCTTTACATGATTTAATTTTCAAAATATTCTGACTTTTTTGAGGTATTTATAGACAATTGAAATTTTCAATTTTACTGAAAATTTTTTTTGAAGTGTCGATAAAATATTTTTGGACACATCAAAATACTTGRAAATTTAACAAAGTTTCTCATAAGATATTCTTATAGTGATTAAAAATTWTAAGAATACATAGTCACAATTTTTTTTTTATTAGCATTTGAAGTTCAAATATTGACAAAAATTCGTCAAAACCATGAATATTTTTTTTTGTGTCTGTCATCACTTTTTGTGGCAGTAAAAGTGCTTCGATTTTTGACTTCTGTACTTCGTTCGATCAGAAAGTGAATCTAGTTGGTACTTTGGGGGGTCAAAACTAAAAAATTCTCAATATTTTTCTAAATAATCGGGATAAACAAACTAAAAATTAAGGGAAAAACAGGAAATTTTAAGTACAGGCAGTTTTTGACAAAATCGATTTTGATTTTTGATCTAACTTTAAAACAAATGACCATTGATACATGAAATTTTCACCGAATGTTTATATGAGTATATTCTATCCACCATGAAATTTTTGACTTTAGTTAAACTATTCATAGGTATATGCAATTTTCGATCATTATTAGTTTTTCTTAAATTAATATCGATCAAAATTTATTTTTTGGGTAGAAAATCTTGAAAATATAATACAAGGCTCTTAACATATTGTTACAATAGCAGTTGAAAAATAAAATAAATTCATAGTCACAATTTTATTTTGTAAGCATTCAAATTTTTAATTTTGAGAAAATACATAAAAATCACAAAAATTCAGAAATTGTTTTAAGYTAGAAATTTATAAAAAATTTCTTTTKAAATCTAAGATTTGAAACATTAATACAAGATTCCTTACAATTTTGTCAATTTTTATCACAAAATAAAATGTCCACCGGAAATTCAAATTAAATTTTTATTAGCATTTGAATTTCAAATATTGACAAAAATTCGTCAAAACCATGAATATTTACAAATTATTTTGTAGTTCAAAATTCATAATATTGTTTGTATTTATATTTAAGGTTATAAAATTCAACACTAAGTTTTCCTATAATGACGCTTCAAATTTTCTCTAT